TGGTCCAGCTCTCACAGCCATACATTACTACTGGAAGAGCAAGCTGAGACAGCCCCAAATCTGCTGAATAAAGGCCACAGATTACTTTTAGGGTAGATCACCATCTCTCCAGATGAAATTTTAAGGCACTGCCTTTCTCTGACAATTGCACACCATTCCTGGCTAAAAGATTCCTTTGCAAGAAACAGACGAAACTTGAGAAATTCAGAGGCTCAACAACTATTCTGACTGAAAAACCCATAAAAAAATCTCCCGCGGCAGATCACGGAAGCCAACGGCAAAGCCTGCTGCCTGACGAAACGCTGAGGGCCAGCGGCACCTGCGGGCCAAGAAGCTGCTCCTCCCCAGCCACTTCAGCCGAGAACAGGAGTTCAGCCACAACGCGCTGCACCTTGAGCGTGTTGCTGAGGAGGAGGAAGACAAAGAAACGGGGGATCCGGAAGACACGTAAGAACAGAATCTACTCGATAATCTGTTAAATAAGCTTAGATCCTTTACTGTTCGGATGAAAGTCACAGTACTGCTTTTTTTTTTTTCATTTACACTGTACCGATTATTGGTGTGGATATTTACACATTACTTGGATATTAACAGTTACCTGCAGTTTTTAAAATTGTGTAAGAGATTCAGTCACATAAAACTAACTGAAATATTGAAAATTCTTGCCTAACAAATGTACTCCTATTTCATTCTATGATATTTGCAAATTCCCTGTCCTCTCCCTTTGTCTTCTTTTTCTCTTGGCCTGTTTTCCTCTTTTCTTGTCTGCATTTTTTCTTCCTTTCCTTTCCTTTCTCAACCATGCTGAACGCACGAACGAAAGGAAGTATGGGCCTGGTACTCGCCTCCTCCCTCCCATCCCAAGGGCCTGCAGCCACCCTCTCTCTGGAAACCCAGGGGCTCACAGGGGCAGCATCAGGGTCCGGCGAGGCTCCCAGAGAGGAGCGCTGCTGTGACTGCCGCCTTCCTTACACATGGAAGAAGAAGCCTTAAGAACACAGAAGAGCAGCTGCCGCGGGATCAGGCCCTCCCACCCTCTGGTCTTAACCAGCCCCAGGTTTCAATGCAGAAAGCGTGGTTGTCACTGGCTGGAAGAGCCCTGTCTGGTCTTCGGGACTTGCGCCTTCCAAGACCTGAGAGACAGTGGCATGCTGCGTGCCCCCAGCGGTTTGCCCGCTTCTCCGAGGTAGCTCCAGGAGACCCGCATCTGAGCCACTGGCACAGTCTGTCCTGCAGATCTCCTTGGAGGTCGTTCTGCTCAAACAACTCAGAAGGCATCCTTTTGCTTGGAGGAGGGGGGACCTTCCAAACCACTAATCAAAGGGGGGGGGGACTGCAGCTGAGACCTCCTAAAACTTGCAGACCACCTGCCAACCTTCCCAAATGCCAACAGAATTCTCATCATTGCAAGGGGAAGGGGTGCAAGATCATGCTGGCAGCTCCTGGTTCAAAAATAGTGGTTCTTGCCATGTTCCTAATGGGCATCTTAGACAAATGTTGCGCTGCAACCCACTTCGGATTGGTGAGGAGAAAAGTGGCGGCTACAGGGGAGAAATAACAGGCAGTCCGCTGCCCTTGGGAAGCAAACTAGCGCGAGAGGACCGGGCAGGTCGTGGGCCAATGCCCGCTACGCCCCGGGGGCAAGACAGGTCTACGCACCGGCATGAACCGGCGCCTGCCACTGGACAGGAAGACCCCCCCCCCGCAATCCGCGGCGGGGCGGGGGGCCCAGGGTCTGCCCGGTCTCCCTTCCGGTAGGCCGCCGCCGTGGAAACTACGAATCCCAGCATGCCCAAGCCTCCCTTCCTCTTCCCCCCCGCTGGTCCCCAGCCTGCCCGGCCGTCCTCGCACAGCTGACAGATTTAGCGGCCGCTGCACAGGGGAAAAGGGGCGGGGGGGAGAACGTCAGGGAGGCGGGGGCTGCGGGACGGGCAGGGAGGACGCGCGCCCGCGAGAGAGAGAG